ATACATCTCTGTCTCAAGTGTATTACCACTGCCATTGATAGTAGGTATCCACAGCCCCCTGCCTACGAATTAGTACCAAGCTTCGGCCCCTTGGGAATCCTATCCCCTGATCTCCCTCACTGAGCCCGGTGAGAGAGAGATTGAAGAGCTCCATGGACCGGAGTGAAGACCGTGGATCCTACATAAAATGATTAAAGGTTAATACATACTGACATATAGATGCATACATGTAGGTGGTGTGGACTCATAGGTTGTTGAATGAATTTTGATAAATGAATTTTGATAATTAATTTTTTGATAATTAATTTTTTGATAATTGATTTTTGATAATTAAGTTTGGTAAGTATTAAGGGAAATTGCTAATGGTAACTTAAATTCTTATTACTGAGTGGTGTTCATGATTAGGGTAGGATGTAATAAAATCTTTGTTGTTTTCCATGTATTAGTTACCCCCTAATGTTAGGATTAACCAATGAAAGTTTGCTACACATGATGTTTATACTTTTCCACAATTATGTCTGCTCAATGGCTCTTAATTGCATTGAATCAGCTTACACATATGGCATACATATAGAGGTCACTGCAACGAAGAACCTGCTTACATGCTATAACCCCTGTTCTGTTTTTAGTTCATTTTTCCCTGAAGTACTCAGCTCTGTAGTTCACCCTTGAGGGGGTGGCTTTGGTGGGAGCCTCTCACCTCTCGAAACGCTAGGTAGCTTCACCTGGGGAAACTGGGACATTGATTTAGTTCGACACGATTTTGGTCATGTCGAAAGGGGGAATTTGTTAGATAATTTCTTAGTCAGATAGATATTTGTTAGAAATTTGTTGTATTAGGAATATTCAGTGGAGACAGGATGTCTAGCTCAGGCTGTTAAATGCTTAGTCATTCTCATGAGTTTTTTGCAGGGTGCATATGGCCAAGGACAACTAGATAGAAAAAGTCAGCAGGCAGGATGAATATTGTTATTATTATGATATGTTTAGCCGTAATCTTAATCATAATATCTTCCGAGGCTTAATGTCCGGACATGTCCCTGAATGTCCTGTATGTTCTTATTTACACACCACATAATCAACACTCACACACATTGATTTTCTCCATGTTTTGACTACTGCTACGGCCAGCTGTGAAGCTGGCATATCAGGTGACGTCACGGTTTGACGTTCCTGGGTAGTATGGGCTAGCCCAACCGAAGTGATAAAATGTATAGGCATTATGGTTCAGGGTCTTTCATTCTCCATCTGCCTGCGTGCAGTATTGGAGGTGAAGATACCTGGACGTGTAATGTTAATTTTACCTGTGATCCTTTGAATAAACCAGCACGGTTATTTTTTATATATCCAAGTGGTCTGCTTCGTCTCTCTGAGTTCCTGGTTAAAAGAGCTGGGTAATATCTTTCACATGGCACAGATGAGGCTGGGGTACACAGGAAATGCTTGGATAATTCATAGAGGTTTGGGTAACTATATATGCACTATATCTATATATGTAATATATCTATATCTTATCTATATCCAATGTTATTTAGGACTATCTATGAAACTATATCTAGTGTTATTTAACTACATTATCTATTTCTCTATGTAACTTACTATCGAGGTATCTATAGATCTAACTACAGTGATTCTCCACTAAATACACAATCTGCTACAACACTACTAACTCTCAAAGCAACTAACGCAACAACAGCAACAAACCAACTTACTTCAAATGAACGCCACTAAATAGGGATAGCATATCTTTGAACACACTCGATCCAAAGTGATTCACATGACAAACCGAACCAATCAGCTGATTCACATGACGTCCGACGAACCCAACTGCTTCAGACGTCACCCAAGTGATTCAAACGTCACTAGTCACATGACCGAAACACACTTCAGCACAGTGGTTCAAAACAATTGCTTTATAAGCTACCGCGCATGTGTCTGAGCCTCAGGTGTCAAAGGGCCATCACTAAGCATGTCCTCTCAGCCAGTTAATTTACTGTAAAGACTGTAACAGAGCCTGTCAGTCTAAAACACATTTTGAAAAACAAAACAAAGGAAATTCTACAGGGATGTTAACCCTTGTACTCTGTTAATAAATACGTCAGTAGATGTGATCAAAGCAAGAAATGCAAAGAATGCAAGCTTCTCTACTATATAGCTTTACAAGACCCCCACGCACGTGTGTACAGTGAAGTCATGTAATATTTGGAACAAAAAGAAAACTGCCAATGACCCAGAGCACAAATGCTTTATCCAGCATCTTGAACCTGATGAAGAACTCTGATCGGATCGTCTTTTGTGATTCTGTAACATATGTGAATGAACAAGGCGACTTAAGGGCCCCTTTGAGGTGCATTTGGAACCAGTGGTGGAAGAAATACTCAGATCCTTTACTTCAGTAAAAGTAGCAACACTACAGTGTAAAATTACTCTGTTACAAGTAAAAGTCCTGCATTGAAAATGTTACTTAAAAAAAGTATTAGCATCAAAATATACTTAAAGTACTAAAAGTAAAAGTACTCGATGCAGAATCAAAAAAACCAGCAGAATGCACCTTCCTGTTTATCATATTATTGTGTTATAATGACTGCTGCATTATTGTGTACATCACATTTAATGTTGCATCTGGTGAAGGGGAGCTAGTTTTAACTACTTCATATGCATTTAATTTGAAGTACTGCTGGTCAGCTTGTGAATGTTCCACCATAGATCATAATTACACAATTTTCTGTATTAATCTGGTTCTGAAAAGTAACTAGTAACTAGTGCTGGGTATCGACTAAAATCCTTAATCCCGTTAACTGCATGATTTTTCTGAGATTAATTGCGATTAACTGCATTGATATGAGCAGCATTCAATAATGAATTCAAAGGTAGTGTATTGTGCACTGGTATTTTAAAAGTACTACTGTAAGATGAGATTTATTTCTTTATTTTATTTAATTGGTATTTCTTTAAGAAATGGTATTAATGAGATACAGTGTTCAGTTCTACAGTGTTTTGACTGGGGTGTATGTGAATTTGGTTTGTCCCACATTTTTGGAAGGTAATAAAAAGAGAAGAAGAGTTGTGGTCCCCGTGCTTGATTGTTACCCATGCCCTCTTTGAATGTTAGTAATACAGTCGGGTCTATCACTAGCCCCTAGGAACAAGTATTACACTACCATATGAACAAAAGTGCAATAACATTTGGTTTGCAAACACTTTAAACAAATAAGGTTCTTTTTAACAAGCACATTCCCTTTAAACAGTAGCAGCAAATCTCAAACAATGTAATCAAGCTCATATCAGGTCATATCAATTAAGGCTTATACGTGTCGTCATTTGTTGCAATCCTAATAACGTTCCGCAGACCAACATCTTCCACAATACTAATCGGCCTGCAGTTTGGAGCTATCCACTTAGCTATGGCATTTGTTAGCTTGCCTTGCTTTTGTTTATCTATACTTCTCCCACACGCTACATCCAACATAGTCTGCCAAAGCCTCCCTCCACTGTTTGTTTGGGTGGGTGATTTGCTGGCATCAACGGTGTGTATTGCATTTAAGTGATACTTCAGACTCGAACTACTCCGGTGATAAGAAAATTCAGCTTTGCAGTGGCTACAAATGACTTTGGTTCAATCAACTCTGAGATTTAAGTTGAAAATGTCCATGTAACACTCCTTTACCTTTCTCCATTTTTCTGTCCCCGCCAGTTCTATTCAGTTCAAGGTCACGTGAGCGCTGCAGCGGTCTTACGCCCACCCCAAATGCTCTTATTGGTTGAGACGCGTGATGACGCCCATCTCAAGCTAGTACCGATCAACATCCCACCCCTCCTGTTACCCATGGTTTGTCTGTATGTGTATTCAGAGCCAGTGAGCAACGGACTTTCAAAATAATAATAAAAATAAACTGCGTTAATGCACAATAAAATAATGGTCGGCGTTAATGAAGTATTGCGTTAACACAAAAATAACGCATGAACTTGCCCAGCCCTACTAGTAACTAAAGTTATAAAGTAAATTTAGTGGTGTAAAAAATACAATATTTGTAAAATTTAGTGGTCAAAGTTTGAAGTAACGGAAAAGGAAAATACTCATGTACAGATATTTCAAATTTGTACTTAAGTACAGTACTTGAGTAAATGTAGTTATTTTCCATGTTTAGAACTGATTTTTAAAAAGTCTGATTAATTTGTGTTTAATTGCAAGTGAAATATGGACAATCATGCGATTAATTGCGATTCGATCCCCCCCTCCCAGTTGACAGCACTAGTCTATACACATTCGGTTTTTTATGTCCCGGTAACTCCTTATAGACACGTTGCAGAGAACTCGAAACCGAATGGCTGCAACAAAAAGATTTTCATCCATTTAATTCCTTCACATAGAGGAGTAGAGCAGTGAACAACTCTGTGCTTCAGCCAGTGGAATCAAGATCATGACTGGCTCTCACCCAGCTGTTGCTCATTAGAAGACATCTGCATAAAGTTGAGCATTCCTCAACGTTCCTCCACAGTGAAGCTTGGTGCCTTTTTAATTCATCCACAGGGGCACATGGCTGCAAATCAAGGTCTCACTCACAATGGCACCTATCACCAGTCCAACCTTTTAAATCCATACGTATGTTTACACTACTACTTGTCCCATTAGCTGCATCAAAGTTGTCCCAATCAGCCAAGGACGTTCCAAGTCTCTTATATCAGCTCTGAGGAACTAGAAGCAAGGAGTCTGCTGGAAAAGCCATGAGCAAAATTACATGAGACTAGCCTTCATGTGCTTTTTTTTTATGAACCAACACCCCCCTATTTTCAGAAATCAGTTGGTGACTGGAGGTGTCAGAGGAAGGAACAGAGGAAAGGACATCTCATGTCATTAATAGGCTTTCCTCAAATCCTGTCTCCTCCTCCAATCCTTGCTTTTTTCCCCCCTCATATCATATATGGGTGGGACTAAAATTCAAGGAAAAGATACAAGAGACAACAGCCCATATTTATATTAAAAAACACCCCAGGTAACAAATAGACTTCTGGACTCCTCCCCTAACCTCACCTGTCCCAGAGAGCTGGCAGCTCATCCTGCAGTCCAACGTTCAGCTCATCAAAAACTTTCTGAGCCTTTTTCAACTCTTCTTCTGCCTGCAAACAAAGATTGTGTTTTAACTACTATGCTGCACAAAGATGGAACCAGCTTCCTGGTGACTAAATGTGCCCCAGCTTTGCCACTTTCAAGTCTAAAATGAAAACTACCATTTTCCTCTGCCTTTGTTTGTCTGGTTTCTATGCTTCACCTTCTGCACTGTAACTGCTAGATAATTATATTATTTTTAAAACCTTTTTGCTTTATTTGTTTTTATTCTTCATTTTACCTTGTAAGTATACCTTTGTATATACAGTATCTATATGAAAACTATATCTAAACTGTGTGTATAGTACTTTATTTTTACTTTCCTAATGTGCATTGCTTTTTCTTGTTTGCATCTTCTTTTTCTTATCTTATTTACTTGTTGCCTTAGGGAACATTGTACATGCGCACTGAGAGCCACTGTACCGGAGTCAAATTCCTCGTGTGTTCATCACACCTGGCCAATAAACCCTGATTCTGATTTTATGTATTTTCTTCATTCTGTCTCAACTGGATTTATTCTGGTTTAAATGCTTATTGTTTTTAAGACTTTTACTGTTTTTCTTTGCCTATGTAAAGCACTTTGAATTGTCTCTGTGTATGAAATGTGCTATATAAACAAAGCTGCCTTGTCTTGCCTAACTAAATGAACTTCAGACAGCACCTGGGCAAGTGACAGACATTTTTGGTGTACATTACCTTCAAGCTTTTGTATGTTACCATTCTTTCCCTGGTTTCAAATATTAAAGATAAGATCCCAGGTATACTGGAAAAACATCCCTCCAATCACAATGTGATCATCCATGTTGGCTTCACTGTCAAAAATAAGACATCTAAGCTACAAAATCAAGATTTTATCTCTTTTAAATGCTCTCAAACATTGTGGCAAACCTTTTTATCTCCAGCCCAATCCGTCTTCTTATAGGAGGTGTGGAACATTTTGTGGAATTCGTAATTTACAGACCTCGTTACAATCAGTCTGTCCAGCTAATAATAAACGTTTCATTGATCATTTTTTCTGGATTTGCCAACCATTTTACTGGAGGGATGGTGTTCACCCAAATAATTTGGGTGTGCAGATTTTAACTGTGACCATTCTTTATTCCGTTCTAAATGTCTCTGAGTATGACAAGAGAATATTTACCCTGACCCCTTGCCAGATAAAGCATTGGTCACAAATTGCATTTTCTTCTGTCTTAATCATTCCTCTCTTAATCAACAGTCATGTTCTGAAGTTCCACCTTGTGGTTCTGATGTTTGTAGTAGAAAAAAAAATACTCGTGTAGTCAAAATATTCCTGTTCTCCATTTCAAAAATAGACCCCAGATTCCAAAAACAGTCTTTTGGGCATCTAATCTTAAAAATGCTGCTATACACCCATCCCATTTGTTACCTAGAAATATGTTCAATATACGTTTAGCAGTTGACATTGAGCAATGTAAAAAAAAATGTATTTCAGTTGGATGAGTTTATGGAACAGCTGTATTGAGAATTTAAAAACATACACTGTACTTATCAAGCTTTAAAAATTTATAAAAAATAATTTAATGAACTCAAAATACATAATTGAAAATGTAAATAATGTAAATAAATTATGCTTGGAATCTGACTTATGTAAAGAAATAAGAAAGTTTTGTTTTGATGTAATAGTTGATGTTTTAAATAAACAAGAGGGGCAGACTTAATGAGCAGTAGCTTCAGCCTTTCAGCTTTAAGGCACCATGATTTATTAGTTTCTTTTTCATTATGTCTTATGAAACTATTAGAAATGGTAATTGTCATATTTGTATAGTTATACAGACCAAAATTATTTTTATTAATTCATTTATACGCCTTCTGAATTTAAGTTGAGGCATGGTCTTTGTCTGCTGCACATAAATCTACAGTCTAATTTCTAAAATGGATTCTGTAAAGCTGTGGGTTGGACACAGATCATCACATTCTTGTAATCACTGAAATGTGGCTGTCACAAGAAGTTCCTGATCAGATTCTTATTTTAATTTGTATGGACACAATGTATACAAAGCTGACAGAAGTGGTGGAGATGGTGGAGTAGCTATTTATACTAAAATGAAATTTGATGTTTTGATGACAATAGTCTCGAAAAAAAATGTGAATTTTTAGCTCTTGATTTCCAAATTGGTTATGTCACGCAACTGAATGTGATTGGTATCTACCAACCCTCCTCCGCTTCACACGGTAGAATACTGAATTACAGAATACTGAAAATCTGTTTTCCTCTTATGTGTGTCTGAATTGGTGGTAATGAAAAAGTTAAGCCTAGACTGGTCTAACTGTAGACTCACCTTCATCATCTTGCGGTCATTCTTCATCCCAGATGCCTGCAGAGTTTCAACATGATGACGAGCACTGTCATAGTCAATGAGTTTTCGACTTCTTTTGGCCACACGAGTCTGAAATATCACAAAGTTTGTTTTATGACAGTCAAATTCAATGCGTCTTTAATAAAGAGGTGTAGTGTTAGTTACTTTGAGGTCTGGGAACTGTTGCAGATAGGCGTCCAGGTCGAGCAGTGTCGAGTCCACCAGTTTGTTATGGAAGTCTTCCCACAATGCATCACAGTCCTGTAGGAAAAACAACGCACTGTCACAGTGATACATCAAAACTAAAAGCATTCTGTATGATCTACGATACTCTCACACACCTAGACACCTGTCTCTCATACACTAAAACCTGGAGCAGTGTTTTGCATGTGGGTATCACTGACCTAGCTGCTCTTGTCATTTTACTAATCCAGGTTTTTCCCTGTTAAGTTTAGCTGATGCATTCATCCTGTCATGTCAGTGTTTTTATAACTCCAACCTTCCCAATGGTCATGACATCATCTTTTCCATGCCAGTCTGGTTCATAGACTTCGTGCAGTGATTGGGCCAGGTTGATGGAGGCCTGCTGCATCCCTGCAGGTAAGAAAAAAAAGCTGATGGACACGTCACTTTTGTCATTTTGCTTAAAGGGTGACAGTCAAAATTTAATGAAACCCATCAAAAATCTATTTTACTCTGCACCAGAAATATGTGATACTGTGTTTAGTATATTTATAGTATAATATATGGCATATGTACTGTACAGTAACATGCCATGTCTTAGTCACTTTAGATGTTTAGATCCTTATCATCAAACAATCCAAACAGTCTTCCACAATATTCTATCTCTGAATATGGATAAAACTAAATTTATGGTAATTGGGAATCGTAGACTAGATAACGAACTGCAAGTGAAAATCAGGGGAGCTAATATAGAACGAGTATATGAAATTAAATTTCTAGGTGTCATAGTTGATGATAAATTCACCTGGAAATCTCATATCAGATATATTCAGCACAAAATAGCAAAAAATATATCGATATTGGCAAGGCTTAGATATATTTTGGACAGAAAAGCACTACGTATTTTGTATTCTTCACTGATTTTACCATACTTGGAGTATGGTGTTGAAAACTGGGGAAACACATACAAAAGCTCACTTCAACCATTGTATATATCACAAAAAAGAGCGATAAGAATTGTGCATAAGATGGGGTACAGGGATCACACCAATGTAGCTTTCATACAGTCTAAATTGTTAAAAATTTTTTGATCTGATTTTTGATTTAGTGGGACACAAGACTGCTGTGTTTATGTATAAAGCCAGGAACAATTTATTACCTGGTGGAATTCAAAAACTATTTAATGAAAGGGAAGGGGGATACAATTTAAGGGGTCAATTAAATTTAAAAATTCATGCTATACGTACAACCAAAAAAAGATTTTGTATTTCCATAAGTGGGGTAAAACTATGGAATAATTTAAGTGTGGACATAAAAAACAGTAAAAGAATTGATGAGTTTAAACATAAATATAAAGGTATGTGTCAATCAAGATATATGCAAGAACAGGCTTAACGATTAATCAGGTGTAGCATTGTGGGTGTGGTGTAAGAATGTTAACACTATGTAATATTTCTACTTGTGTGATGTAGAAGATAATTATCAAAGTATGTAATTATGTAAGAATGTTAACAGTCTGTAATATTTTTTAGTATATCACTAGCGTGGTGTAGAACAAAATTATCTATGTAGTAATACTGCTTGCAAACAATGATGGTAAGATGATGTTATGGGGTAGGACTAGATAAGTCTAACTTCTTCCTACTCCGTTCAAGCATGTACTAGGTATAAGCAAATTGATAATGCATTTGTGGATATGTGTGAAATTATGTGTGTTGACATATTGACTGTCGTTACATGTTTGAAAGAATAAATCAAATCAAAATCAAATAAAAAATCTCTGATCCATGTGTATGTAGTGGAGAGATGGTGTTGTGCTGTGCTATGAGCAGGGGTATTCAAAATCCCAAATGTGGCCTATACAGTATAGAGACTCTTATTTTGGTGGGCACAAATTGTCATTATTTGCAGTGCTCTTGTTCTTCATAAAACTGTTAATTCCTTATGGATATGTTATATTGGGAGTAAATTCCATGTAAAGACTTAACACCTTCTCATAAGATGACCCGGTTTGAGGTTCAAGAGGAAGTATCATAATTGTTTTGTTTTGTAATGTGACCGTACTTGTCGTGCATCCAGAAATTTTACTTCCTCTTCTAATACGGACTTTCTCCCAGAATGGCATGCTTTTTTGCAAGCTCTGTTTAATTGCAGAAATTTTGGCTGAATTGTAAAGTCGAGGTAGTTTTTATGTTCTTATGCATGTTTTTATACATGTGCTGTTGGGCGCGCACAGCACCCTGGAGAAACCACTGTGCTGCCACACTCTCTGGCTTCTGCTGTCATCCCACATACCGGAGTCTGGACTTTAAGAAGCCCTGGCACTAACCACTGTCACAGCAGTGTATATGATGTGCTTAATATAGAGTATATGATGTCTGATATGTGACAATGTGTTTACACTGAACAATAGCGTTTCCCACCTTTAATAGCAGACAAGTAGGCCTTCATCTCCCTCTGGAGCCGAGAGCCTTCAGACTGACAGAACACACAGCACTGGTTAAAGACACATACACTAAACAAATCAGTAGTTTACTTTGGTGAAACATGATGGCTTCCTGTTTTCTTTCAGGTGTTTTTCTCTTTAATGGGTAAAGCTGCAGTTCAGTTCATGTCAGTCAGATTAATTAAATGGTATCACAGCAACTTTTGGCACTAAAGGGATCTTATCAGTCACTGTTTTCTTCCACTGGATCATCGCAGGGGTGTGTCCTCTCGCCATTCTTTCTTGTTCTGTGCAGGAGCCAACATGACAGCCATAATATAATTCAGTTTGCTGATGATTCTGTTATTGAGTCTCTACTGAACGGTGAGGACACTGATCATGGCCCCACAGTGGCAGTTGGTGTAAGTCATCCTTTTTGAATATTAATGTGTCCAAATCCAAAGAGATGATTGTTGATTTTAGGAAAAAGCAGACATTTCTCCCATGATGATCAATGATCAGGTTGTTGAGGTTGTACAGCAGTACAAATATTTAGCGACCATCACTGATGACAAACTGACCTTTGAACCGCAACTAATCCATCAGCATATGTTCCGTCTTTGTAAGCTACAGAGCTTTAATATTGATAGTACTTTTATGAAGAACTTTTACTCATGTTATACAGAATCTGGTCTTATCTGTTCTTCATCTTAATTGTTCATTTTTGTGAATTGGGACTATAAAAATAAAGTTAATTGAATTGAATTGATTTAGATAGCTAGATATACACAACCCCAAATCAGAAAAAGCTTAGACGCTACGTAAAATCCCATGCAGCAGCACATTATTTGATGTGACACCTCATCATTTTTATTCTTTGTTCAAAATAAACTCTCACTCCAATCCTGATACTGCAACATGTTCCAAAAATGTTGGGCCAGCTGCATTTCAGGGCCTGTCTTCTTCTTCTTTCAGCTGTTCCCGTTAGGGGTCGCCACAGTGAATCATCTATTTCCACCTAACTCTATCCTCGGCATCCTCTACTCTCACCCCAGTTAATTTCATGTCCTCTTTTAGCACATCCATATATCTCCTCTTTGGCCTTCCTCTTAACCTCTTGCCTGGCAGCTCCATCTCCAAACATCCTTCTACCAATATAACCACCATCCCTCCTCTGCACATGTCCAAACCATCTCAATCTGGCCTCTCTGACCTTGTCCCCAAAACAGCTGACCTGAGCTGTCCCTCTGATGTGCTCATTCCTAATCCTGTCCATCCTGGTCACTCCTAAAGAGAACCTCAACATCCTCATCTCTGCTACCTCCATCTCTGCCTCTTGTCTTTTCCTCACTGCTACAGTCTCTAACCCATACAGCATAGCTGGTCTCACTACTGTCTTGTACACCTTTCCTTTGATTCTTGCTGACACTCTTCTGTCACACAACACTCCTGACACCTTTCTCCACCCACTCCAACCTGCCTGCACTCACCTCTTCACCTCTTTCCTACCCCCAAATACTTAAACTCCTGCACCTTCTTTACCTCAGCCCCCTGTAACCTCACTGTTCCACTTCCCTC